GGGGGTGGGGAGAAAAGTGCAGCAATGAATTGACTGGAATTCCAAAATCTCTGTAGATGTTCATTGAAATGAATAATAATAATAATAAAGAATGCAGGCTGGCCTTCTCAAGTTCTCTGCCTTAAATTTAGCCCTTTCCGGTTCTATTCCACAGCCAAAGAATTAGTCCTTTTTTATTTTTAAAAAAGGCTGAGTGAATTGGCCATGAAATTACCTGAAGTTGTAGAGACTGAAATGAAATGACTTGGATTTTGGAGCACACTAAAAATAGTGTTTCCTTTGAAGCAAAGGCTTCCTTCCTCACAGCAAGTCACTTCAAGGGTTTTCTAACTTAATGAGGTTTCAGATTTCTGCTGATACTTTTTCTATAGTATTCAGTGCTTTCTCTTATCTATTTTCTGGAGATTTGAGTACTTCAAGGATGATTTCTAACTAAAGGCAGAAAATAGTGGTTTGGTTTTTTTTACCTACAAGTTCCATACACTCTGCCCCCAACACCTACAAATGAATATCAACATTCACAGAATAATTGATAATGAAAATAATTTTAATTGTATTGCTCTTCCTTTAGAATTCTCAATCGTAATCCTCTAACAACTATTGAAGATCCATATCTTTATAATATGCCAGCATTAAGTTATTTGTAAGTATTGCAAATATCTTATGAGTCTTGAAATGAGATGATTCTTCATTTTCACATTTCTCAAATATTAAGTATTTTGTGTTTAGGGCAAAAAGTCATAATATTAGTTTGGTTATTAAATAAAGTTATCAACAAAGAAATAGATTAAGAAAGGATGGAATTGGGCATAACAGAAGCAGAGCAATGTTGAAGAATACAGGGATATAATACTTACAGATAAATGTAGAAATAGAATTTATTTTTTTTAAGAAAAGAAGAGATAAAGGTCTCCCTACCAAAAAATAGCTAAAAATCAGAAGACTTTAATGCCACATTAAAGTTTAAATGTGTTAATGGTAAAAGACTATAAATTCTACCTTTCTGAGCAGATGTCTTTAATGTGTTACTGCAAATAATGTTCCATTTCTTCAGTTGCTGCAAATAATGTTCCATTTCTTCAGTTACTGTAAATAATGTTCCATTTCTTCAATATGTATGTTCTAGAACTACATCTATGCAAATCATTTAGTCTGGCTTATTTTACAGAAAACCCAAAATTGAAGTAGTTATCTGTTATTAAGTACCTTTAAAGTTGAGAAGTTTTATGTTCATATCATGTTCATATCATGGACATGTGGGCTTTCTCCTTCAGAGACTTGGGAGCAACACAAGTGTCCCTCAAGACAGTTGAGAACATCCTCTCAATGACGCTTCAATTGCAAAAACTGTAAGTCTCTTTTGTCTTAGATTTGTTTTCATTTAAGGGAGGGATTTAAAAAAAATTTTAATACTTTTATTTTCTTTTTAAAAAATTTTCTACAAGTTTACAAAATTCAAATACATTGTTTTCAAGAACAAATACTTTCACTTTCCCTCATCCTCCTACCCAATAAATTATACAACCCCATGATTAATATTACACCTCCCCCTGCACATCCTCATCCCTCTGCTTCCAACCTCTCCCTCTCCTCTTGGATCCTTATACTCATTCTACAATAATGGTTTTATACAATATTTATCCTTGTTGGACTCAGTTAATTCTCTCAACATAATGTTCTCCAGGCCCTCCCAAGTTAGATAATAATTTACAAATTCATTGCTCCTGCATGCTGCATAGTATTCCATTGTGTAAATATGCCATCATTTCTCAATCTATTCGTTTGTGGTTGGACATTTGGGCAGTTTCCATGTTCTTGGCAATGGTGAATAATGCTGCTATGAACATTGGTGTACAAGTCTCTGTTTGTGCCTCAGTTATTATTTTCTCAGGGTATATTCCAAGCAGTGGAATAGCTGGGTCATATGGAATTTCTATGTTCAGCTTTTTTTGAGGAAGTGCCAAAATGCCTTCCAGAATAGTTGTACCATTTTCAATCCCACAAAAATGTACAAGACTTCCTTTCCCACCACATCCTCTCCAACATTTATTACTTTCTGCCCTGTTAAACTTTGCCCTGGTTACTGGAGTGAGATAGTGCCTCATTGTGGTTTTGATTTGCCTCTCTCTTATTGCCAGTGATTTTGAGCATTTCTTCAGGTCTGTTTGCCATTTGAATATCTTCTGTGAAAATTCTTTCCATGTCTTTTGCCCAATTTGTAATTGGGTTATCAGTCTTTTTCTTATGGAAGCCAATGAATAGTCTGTAAACTTTTGTTATAAGACTCTTGCCTGAGATGGTATTATTACCAAATGCTTCTTTTCACCCTGTTGGGAAAAGTTTTTGTTGAACACATAGATTTAATCTTTAAAGTCATTTTATTGAAGTCTAATTGTTGTTGTTAATATCTGCCGTCGAGTTGCCTGCGACTCATAACAGCCCTAAACCCTGTTCTATCCTGTGCCAATCTTATTGTGTCTGACACCCCAGTTACCCCAGTCACTGAATCAGTCCATCTCATCAAGCATCTTCCTCTCTTGTGCTGTTCCTCACATATAATCAAACAATATACACTTGGATTAACATTCTGATTACTACCAAGCTGTTTTTCCTGACTTCAGGTGAACCAGTAACCCAAATACTGAGAAAATTCAACTCACACCTTAATAAATAGGCAAATCATGTGGGTCTTTAGCTTAGATTACAAGGTTGTTCACCCATATTGCCAGCAAACTGCAACATCTCTAATCATCTTATTAGGTTTTTACCAGTAAAGTTTCAAACATTCCATGAATTAAGACCTTTTAGTCAATATGGCACAAGTACCTAGACTTTCCATAAAAGGAGAGCTCTCCAAAAGAAACAAAGCCCATTTAACTTTGCTTGGCTTGTTAAAGCACACCTGTTTTGCAAAGTTTTTCTCTCCTGGTGGGGTTTTTAGCAGTGATAAAAATTTTTCTATCAGGAAATTTTGCAAAGAAGGCATTTTATTTATATATGACTTTACAGACAGAGATTTTGATACAGGTGCTATAGACAGTATAACTTATCAAATCATTTATATGATTTGAAAATACATAGTTTTAGATTTTTTTCCCCATTTAACTTGATCTATACCTTTAGTCAAGCAGAATGATTATAACCCTGAAACATCAACTTACTCATGCTTGTGAAATGCTATTTTTGTTTAGAATATTTTTGATGAAAGAAAAAGAAAAGAAAATTTACAAATGTACTTATGTATACACACACAAAACCAAATAAAACAAAACCCCAGAATGGTCCATAGGCATATATTACAAGTTAAACCCAAGTTCTGATTCAGTAATGATTATGAGAAAAAAAATACTAATATTTAGAAAAGCTGTTCTCTAGTGTAATGCAGAGGAAATTATATATCATGAAATATACTTTTCTGACAAATGAAGCAACTACGGGAAGCTTTATTTGTTCAAAATAACCTATTGATGCAACAAAAAAACCAACCAGAAAAAATCCCAAATAACTCCCCCAACACTACTTCAAAACAAACATATCAAACTTAATATCCTTTAGAATGTAGTTATTCTCAGTAGCACATAAAAAACAAAGGCCCAAACATTATGTACATAAGTAAATATATATAGAGAAAGTAATGCAAACAATTATTGAGCTTCATTTTCTGAACAAGAATGCCAAGTTAGTCTCTCTTCATAAAACGCAATTATAATTTGAGGACATTTCATAATTTCTTCTTCTTAGCCAGCACTAAGTCAGCTTCATCTGAATCTTTCCACTTCATGAGAAACATTAATTCTCCACTGCTGTCTGTGGCACCAATTACTTATTCAAGATCAAGACCTCTAACAAAGCAGCATCTCTTTTCTTTGACTTGTTATCATCAGATTCACGATCAGTTAACTATTTCCCTTTTGTACCATCTTTTTCTTTACTAGCTTTTTGAGAATTCAGAAATGTTTCAATCAATTCTGAGCAATCTTGATGTACTTCAGGTTCCCAAGTATTGTCAGCATCTGCAAATCTCTTCCACTTGAGGAAATATTCTACCTTCCCATCCACTACACATTGGTCCAGCACTTTTTCTACCAAAAATTCCACTTCTGCCTCTTGAACTTTTTCATTCTTCCCATTCTGTTTCTTTCCCATTTTTTTTTTTTTTGCAATGTACTTTTATTGGAGGCCACTTTTTATTGCAGACTTGAAGAGCTAATTATTATTCTACATCTCTGAGCTGCTCTGGGTCCTAGGATCTCCACCCACAAGTGGCCCTGGCTTCAGCCATATGGAGGAAGGGGCTAGGGACCTTGTGCTGGGCCACTGAGGGTAGAGGAAGCACCTTGCTCCAGCTACTTTTGACAGGTCACTTCCTTGACGCTCACGTCAAATCCTTTAGTCATTCCTCAACCTCCCATAGTATCCAACAGAGTACACCCTTTCTTGTTGGCCAGATGCTATCCCCCTCCAGATAGTAAAAGTTCTCATACTCAACCAACTTTCTCACTTAATCTATCCAAGGTAGTAGAACTCTATCTTCTCTTTTTATGACCATTAGTAGATAGTGAAAAGTGCTATCATTCTCTTTAACCATGTGACAGCAAGCTCAGAAAAAGAGCAGATAAATCAAATACCATCTTTGAGTTCATTATTAGAATTCCTCAATAAATTATTTTGAGAGGAGATGCTTTTGAATTATACTACAGATCACTGTCACCCAATTCTTTGTCCCATGACTTTATTTAAGGCATATGAAATACTGATATGAAATATTAATTACTGCCATCCGTATGTTTCTGTTGTTCTTGAATTTTTTTTCATTCATTCATTGCTACACTTTTTTTCTTTTCTCCCCTCCCCCCAGTTTGCTCTTCTCTTTGAAAAGCAAAAGATAAACTTCTTTGTGGATATACAATCCCCCGACCCCGCCCCTGCCCCCCACACCCCAAATACAATCTTAATTCTGGATTCCTGTGATTATCATAATATGCTATCATATATCACTTTTAAACTGTTCTCTCCCTCATCTGTTTCGATTCAGTATGCATAAAGTATCCAGTTTTTCTCAGTCTTACCCCAACCCTGATGTCAGTCACTTTCTACAACAGTGGCACCATGCAGTATTTGTCCTTTTGTGACTGAGATATTTTACTCAGCATAATGTCCTCGAGGGTCACCCATTTTGAATAATATTGCATGAGTTCCTTGTTTTTCAATGCAGCGTAGTATTCCATTGTGTGAATATACCACAGCTTCTCTATCCATTTGTTTATTGATGGGCACTTAGGTTGTGTCCAACTCCTTGCTATTGTTAACAAAGCCACAATGAACATGGGTGTGCATATCTGATTGGATGTCAGTTATGGTCTCTTTAGGGTATATTCCAAGTATTGGAATTGCTGGGTCAAATGGTATCCCTATTTGCAACTTTTGAGAAAGTGCCACACCACTTTCCACTGTGGTTGCACCATTTTACACTCCCACCAACAGTGAATAAGGGTTCCATTTTCTCCACATCCTCGCCAGCATTTGTTGCTTGCTGTTCTGTTAAATTTTGCTATTGTTACTGGGGTGAGATGATACCTCATAGTTGTTTTGATTTGCATCTCTTTTAGAGCTAGGGATTTTGAACATTTCTTCATGTGCTTATTGGCCATCTGAATGTCTTCTTTGGTGAAGTGTCTGTTCATATGCTTGCTGTGCCCATTGTTCTTGAATTTTTTGCAATATTCAAGAGAAGAAATTGACCAACTGAGACCACGCAACTGGCCAAGCCATATGTCCCCAAAATTTCTTCCTGGAATTGAAATGCTTATATAACTGCCTTTATGTACAACTGCCTCCATAACCATCCCAGGATGATTTGATCAAGGAGTTAGGAGGTGATTTCTGATCAAAAGAACATAAATTGTCGAACAGAATTTCAAACTCTTACAGAATCCAGACTTAACCTATTGAGATTAATGCAATCCTCAAATATATCACTCCAAGAAAAATCTCCAAACCAGAAACCAAAATTATTCCCTGAAGCAATTTTTAAATTAAACAACAGTTTGGCTAAATTAGTAAAGACTGCTCACCATAAACATTGCAGCCTTTTAAAAGATTGTGTAGCTGAGATCAAATTGATAACTGTAATTGTAAATCAGATGAAAGGTTTAGGACACAGTAAATCTAAGTAATGCTGGTGAAACAAAGTTGGTAGATGGGTAGAGACAACAAGAATGGTGAAAACTGCACCTGATATTACTGAGTTACACATGGAGACATTGTCAAATGAGCGCTTGTTCCTCTCCATGTATTTTCACCAAAATTAAAAAGAAATAAATAAAAAGTGATTCTTAGGTCTGTGGCTTGGCCTGCTTTTACTAATCAAGTAACACTTTTACCATTACAGTAATTGTCTTTGTTTCCATTGACAGGATTTTACCTAGTCGTCTGACCTGCTGCCTTTGCCAGTTTAAAAGCACCATTGAAGTTGTGTGTAAAACAGTCAAGATGTTTACAAAACATCAGGTACTGCAGAGAGTCCCAACTGTTTCATGATAAATTTTAAACCAACAAGCAAACTGTTTCTTTTTATCCCTGATTTCATTCAGATTACCACTAGAACTGGATGTAAGAACTGCTCCTTGCTGAAAGTTGGAGTCTCAGTTTGATGAGTCAACTAATATTGTAATGAATCCTAGTATATAAAGAACAAGAGAAAGAAATGAAAGGATATAAGGAATATTGCAGAGTATGCTCTCTGCTTGGGCTTTACCCATCAAATGAGAATTTTTTTTTTGCAATGTATTATAGTTTTGTAAACTGATTTCATAAGTACTCTATTATCTCCTGAGTTCCCTCTCTGCTAGGACAGCTATAGATCTACTTTTGTTTGTTGATCTGGTTTGTTTGTGTTTTTGTGTTTTTTAGTTTTTGTTTTTGGGGTTTCCTTTAATTTTTCTACTAGTTTATTTACAAAATTCAAATACAAATTTGAACAAATTCTTTCAATTTCACTCACCCCCTCCACCCATTAAATTGAACAACCCAATGATTAATGGTAGTTTGGGTTTTTAATTTCATAAAGGAGTAACAGTGATAATGCTTGATAAATTTGATGTGTAGCCTCAGGTTTACAAAACAGATGCTGCTGCTGTCCAGCTTTCCTAATAGGTGGTAAGACTCTCCCGTTCTTAAACTGTCCAACTCTGAACATGTTCTGAATCTTAAGGCTTTTTTTACTTCTAAGAAACCCATATATTTTTGATGCTTTTTCTATGTGTAAAGTTTATTTGCACTAACTTCATTAATTCCATGATGTGACACTTTCACATCAAGAGAACCGGAATATGGATTTCTAGCAGTGATATGGAACAATAATAATGCTTTGCTACTTAAATGTACACACATTGCTTCCTTGTGAAATCATTTCTGTTATTCTCTACTTCCCTAGAGGTCGCCAGAAAAGACGTTTTTAAAATCCTTGTATAGTTGAAGGAAAGTAAGAGCAGCAGTGTTGAGTGCCACAGCCTGCTGCCCTTGTTACCTTCCCCAACGCTGAGCTCTCCAGAAGCCCATGCTCCTCCTATACTATAATCTCAGACTCTTCTATCGACCCTCACCACCACTCACAAGATTTTCCATTCTTCTGGAGGAGACCACAACTACACCATGGTGCATTTGACTTATGTGCATTCAGAGGCTCTTACTAGTTAGTTCCTTGAGGGAGAAATATTAGATATGAAATGAAAGGAAGACAAGTAGACCTCTGGCAAAAGTTGCTTATTCCATTCTGTAGTATATAATTTCAAATAATGATTATCCAGATACCATATTATCCCATAGATTTTTTTGAACCTTCCATATAGGATAATTAAAAATCCCATCACAAATTAGATGCCATCAAGTTGAGTATCACTCATAGAGAACCAGATGAGATCTGAGACATGTCATATACTATGCTATCCTCAACTCTGATATATTTGAGCCCACAGCTTCAATTACTGTGTCAATTCATCTTGTTGAGGATCTTTGTCTTTCCTCCTTTCCAAGATGTTGTTGCTTTCCAAGGAATAGCCCCTCCTAAAAACATGCCCCAAGTATGTGAGATAAAGCTCCACTATCCTTACCTCCAAGGAGCACACTGGCTGTACTTTCTTCAAGACATATCTGTTTGTTCTATTGGCAGTTCATGAAATACTCACCACTCTTCTCCAACTTACAGTTCAAAGGTATTGGCTAAAAAATAATGCCCTGAGAATCAACAAGATACCAACTGACATGCTTCAACTAGTGGATGCAGCCCTGGACATGCTCATGGGTATGTGCCAGAAAATTTGGAAGATAGCTACCCGACCTGCTGACTGGAAGAGCTGTATTCTTCTTATGCCATCCTTATTCATTGTCCAGGTCACTGGAAAGACCATCATGCAAATCAGGTGCACTTCAGTCTTTAAACTGGCATCATTGCTCTTAAACTGACGTCATTGTTCTTCAAGACTTTACAGAGGTCCCTGAGGGGCAATATTCCCAATGCCATACATCTTCTGATGTCTTCACTACTGGGACCAAGTGGATTGATTATGAATTCAAGTAGATGAAATTGTTGACAATTTCAGTCTCTTCTCATCTACCATGAAGTTGCCTATTCACCTAGCTGTTGTTGTTACATGCCATCAAGTCAACCCTATAAACAAAGGATCTGAACCCTCTTCTATAACTATTGTCATTCTGTAAGTTCATAGAGTTTCCAGAAGCATACTCTTTAGGAAGTGGATGCCACTTCTGCTTCCAAGCCTATCTTAATTTAGGGGCTCCACCAAACACTGTCCACCATAAGTAACCATTATGGCATTTGACACAATAGTGACACAACATTCAGTATCACAGCAATACCAAGTTACTTCAGTAGAGCAAATTGACAGACCAGTGCTGTAACACTTAGAAGAATGTTCATGCCAAACACAATTAACTCCAGGCCCAAGGGATTGGCCCAGTAGTGAAGATTTTTGTTTTCTTGATGTTCAGATGGAAGCCATACTGAAGGTTTTAGTCTTTGATTTTCTGCAGCAAATGCTTCAAGTCCTCCTTGCTTTCAGAAATTAAGGCTGTGTCATCTACTTAGTGTAGGTTGTTGATGAGTCTGCTTTAAATCCTGATCCACATTCTTCGTAAAAGCTTCTTGAATGATTTGCTCAAATACAGATTGAATAAGTATGGAGAAATAATTATCCCTGATGCTCACCTTTCTTGAATTTTAAACTGCAGTGCCACCTTGCTCTGTCTAGACAGCAGCTTCTTGGTCTAGGTATAGATTTCATATAAGCATAATTAAGTACTAAAATTCCCATTCTTCTCAGTGTTAGTCATACTTTCTTGTGATACGCAGTCAAATGCTTTTGCATCATTTATAAAATACATATATTTTATATGTATTTTTATGGTATTTTCTACTTTTAACCAATATCTGTCTGATATCAACAATGATATTCCTGGTGCCATGGCCTCTTCCAAATACAGCTTGAACTTCTCATAGTTCTCTGTTAAAATACTGTTCCCTTTCTTGGGAGTGAGAACCAACATGGATCTGTTCCAGTCAGTTGGCCAGGAAGCTATCTTCCAAATTTTCTGGCACACACTCATGAGCATGTCCAGGCCTACAACTGTTAGTTAAAACATGGCATTTGGTATCCCATTGATTCCTTGGGAATTCTTTTTTTTTTTTTGTCAATGCCTTTAGTGGAGCTTGAAATCTTTTCTGATCACCATTGACTTTTTGTTGTTGTTGTTGTTGTTTGCTATCAAGTTGAAGCCAACTCATAGCTGATTCTCCAGTGGGTCTTAAGAGGCAGTAAATTACATGAGAGGAGATGGACTACTCTTGTAGAGCTTGTGGATTTAAACAAATACTTGTGGGACTGCACACCCTATGCCATCAGAATAGTGTCAGCCAATTATTTTTTGATACAGTGATTGTACAGTCTCTCCACCATCTTTTCATCTCAAGATTTTTTCCAGAGCCTCTCTGCAATTGAATTGTTTCCTTAGTTATTTCAACTTGAGAAATGCTCACTAAAGTCTTGCCTTTTTATTCTCCAACTCCAGAACTTTGTACAGTCTAATTCTGTGAATATACTAACTGGATGATTCAAAATGTGATCTTGAGTCAATTCCACCAGTATTTATAAATCATCTTAAGGATTATTTGAACCATTGAACACTAATGATTGAAAATAAAATGAGCTGTGGGATGACATCAAGGATATCATCCATGAAGAAAGCAAAAAGGTTACTGTAAAGACAGAGAAAGACAAAACCAAAATGAATGTCAGAAGATACCCTGAAAATACACTAGAGCATCAGAAAGCCAAAGCCAAGGAAAGAAATGTTGAAGTAAAAGAGCTGAACAGAAGTTTTTAAAGAACAACCAGTGAAAACAAAGCAAACTATTATATGAGGCTATGCAGATGTAGAATTGGAGAATAAAAAGAAAAACATTCGCTTGGCATTTCTCAAGCTGAAAGAACTGAAAAACAAATTCAAAACTTGAGTTACAATACTGAGAGATACTATGGGAAAAATCTTGACTGATCCAGGAGACATCGAAAGAAGATGGAGCAAATACACAGAATTACTCTATCAAAAAGTGGTTGATATGGAAATATTTCAGGAACTATCATATGATCAAGAAGCAATGGTAGTTGCTTTGGAATTTTCTTCAGTGTGCAGAGGAAAGGTTGCTCAGTAGCAAACTGCCACAACAGCCATTTTTCAATTCTTCCTTCAATGCCAGTGCTGCTTTGGAGATCAATGCTGGAATGAACATCCTCATGCCAGGAGTGCAGGCAGAAGATGGAGGCAACCACATCACCAGCCCTTATGTAGTAGCAGGCATGTAGAGCTACAGTAACCAGGGTTTCTCCAGTGTGTCCAGCCATCTAGTTTCTCCAAGTCTATACCATTAAGGGGCAGCAGAGATCAAGTGAAGCCATCAGTTAGTAGTGCTGACTTTATAACTTCCTCTAGCAGCAGTGGAGAATTGGGATTGACTGAGAGCTTACCAACTTTACTTAAGATAAAAGATGAAAAGAAACTTCCAGAAGGGACTATAGAAGATATGGAGGTTTGGGAATCATCTTGACAGTGGATGTGTTCCATTTATTCTCCTATGAAAAACAAAGCCAATATTTCAGGCATATGTTACTATGAAATTCCCAAGAATGATATAAAAAACTAGTATTAAATTTTCTCTACAAAAGAAAAGAGAATTTAGAAAAATGTTGTAGAACAACTGAGGAAAACAATGCAAGACCAAAATGCAAAATTAATTAAAGAGGTGGAAACCTTATGTAAAAAATCAGTGAGAAATTCCAGAACTTTATGATAAAAAAAGCAGAAATAAAATACCCCATGGAAGAACCTACAAATATTCGAAGCAATGGAAGAAAGAGTCGGTGAAATAGAAGACAAAATTTAGGTTACACATTTTAAAGAACAAATGTTAAGGAAAAAAAGAAAACTGAACATGACATGATGGTTTTGCAGGACTCCCCCATCAAGAGAAACAATATGCACATAAGGGGAGTTCCAAAAGGAATGAGGGAAATTCCAGGGGGGAAAATGGAGAAATAATGACAGAAAACTTTCCAGATATTTTAAAAGACAAGATTTAAATTGAAGAAGCTTAACAAATCCTATCTTGATTCATTTCCAAGAGAAATACACCATGATACAGTATTAAGCTTTCTAAAATGAAATCTAAAGAATTTTGAGAGCAGCTCAAAAAGAGCAAAATATATACAAAGGGATCTCAGTATGAATACGTACTGATTTTCTCTCTTAATTATGCAGGCAAAAAGGCAATTGGGTAACATATACAAAGTCTTGAAAAGATAATATACCCAGCAGAACTGTCATTCAAATATGAGGGTAAAATTAAGAGTTCTCAGAAAAACAGAAATTAAGGGACTATCAGATCTGTTCTACAATAACTATTAAAAGGAGTCTTCTAGAAGGAAACCCACATGAGTCAGGAATTGAGGATAGTGACATCAAAGAGCCACCTGAATACAAAATAATTAATAATAATAATAATAATAATACAGGTTGTAGGAAATATAGATAGAAAGTTGAAATGGGCAATAAAAGGAAATTTCATTGATTTAGTACAGAATTTTTACATATTGAAGAAGCTAAACACAGTTTTAAGAGATAACTTTGTTTTTAGTGTATGATGTTAAGTTTATAAACTTAAGGTAACCAGAAAGAAATAGAGATGCTAAGTAAGTAAAGGAAAATGGCTTACATTGAATTGACTGACAGGGGTAATGGGGGTAGGTATGACAGAGACAATGAGATTGGCTCATGATAGGCCAGAATTCAGAGCTTTGGTACACAGGATCACTATGAGTTGCAGGCAACTCACCAGCACATAACAACAACAACATGGCTTACATTGAGAAGAATGGAAATTGTGCTCGTGCAAAAACTGTACCTAAACCAAAAGCTATTGTTGCTACATAAAAGTAAGGGAAAACTGCATGGCTTAAAATTAAGAAAGCCATGAGTCAAGGTTGTATCCTCTGCCCATACAAACCCAATCAGTATGCTGATTGATGCCTTTGAGTTGTGGTGTTGGGGGAGAGTACTGAATATTCCATGGTCTTCCAAGAGAACAAACAGATGTGTGTTGGAGAAAGTGAAGCTAGATTACTCCTTGGAAGCAAGGATGATGAAGCTTTGTCTCCCATACTTTGGGGATGCTGCTAAGACAGGCTGATTCTTAACGGACAACATGCTCAGAAAAGTGGAGGGACGGCACAAGAGAGGAAGGCCCTTAATCATTTTGACTGATACAGTACAGTGACTACAGCAATGGGCTCAAGCATGTCACAGATTGTGAGGTTGGACCAGGATAAGACAGGGTAATAGATCTGTTGGATAGGATAGGATAGGATAGGATAGGATAGGATAGGATAGGATAGGATAGGATAGGATATATCTCTTTTTAATAAGATTGCTATGATTCATATGATTCAACTTCACGGCACCCAACAACAACCACCAATAACTGAATACTGCCCAGCTATCATTGTTACGTGTCATTGAGTTGCCTGTGATTATAGTGACCCTTTGTACAATAAACCTAAACCCTGCTCTATCCTGTGCCCATCTTATTGTCTCTCACATACCTACCCCCATTACCCCAGTCACTGAGTCAATCCATCTCATTGAAGGTCTTCCTCTCTTGCACTGTCCCTCTACCCTCCCAATCATGATGTCCCTCTCCAAGGACTGGTCTCACCTTGCAACATTACAGAATGTGTTAACAAAAGTTTATATACAATACTCATGGACTGCAACACAGAGTTTCCAAATAGGTAATTTTTATTTTATTTTAATTTTTAGAAATAAAAGCACTAGTTATAGGAAAGATATAAATCTATAAGGAAGTATTTTTCCACATATTACTCTTATGAAGGGGCAGGTGTTTTCAATTGCTAAGCTTTTAGTCTTTAGTAACTCAGCATTTAACCACTCTCCATTAAGACTATATCATCCTAAATACATTGTTGTTATGTGCCTTTCCGTCAGAACTACCTTATAAATGATCCTTAAAAAGGATTTCAGAAGCTTTAAAATGACCAGCAGGATATAGCTCATCTTTCTTCCTTGGAGCAGAAAATGGATTAGAACTTGCATGCCTTTGGGTTTTCAGTGCACTCTTTAACTACTAGGACATACCTGTACTTCACATTGTGGAGTGTGTTAAGAAAGTAGCGACTTTTTCAAAGCAGTCAAGTTGGGCATAGTGAACACATTCGTACTCGAACACTGTTGTTGCTAGTTATAACTTATGCTAGAGTTTCTTTTTCTCTTCTCTAAATGGCACGTGAAGGGTTGCTGACTTAATTTTCTCATCTAGGATATACAGCTAAGCATTAACAAAAAGCTGTCCCATCAGTCTTTCATTATCAAACACAGTCTCTTCTGTTTTGGCAGGTGAAGAAGCATCTCTAATGGCTCAAGCAGGAACATTCATGAAGGCACTGCAAGTGCGGAAGAAGAGTAACAGCACTGAGCTGACTATTGAGCCAGAAAAAACAACCTCCAGTGGAAGCGGTGTCACATTGTCAACTATGCGAAAGGAACCACTAGATGTTCATGACAAAAGTGATGTCATCTATGCACTAAACTACATGTTGCCTTATTTCTTAGACAGAAATCTTGAAAATACAGAATCGACATTATTACCATACATTAAACTGCTTTTAACTAATATAACAAATAGAAATAAGGTCTCAACTGATTTGAAGAATGACAATGAAGAATTATCTGTTATGCCTGCTCTCAACAAAGCACTTTACAAATTGCAGGATCTCTATTTTTTGGAAAATTTGTTAAAAATTCAAGAAAAAATGGGTGAAATTAAAAAGAAAGCAAAAAATGCTATGCTTATGGAAACCAATGTTTTAGGGGCTAAACTAGGTAAAAATAAGTTAAGACGTTCTAAGAGCTGGAATAATCACTTAGAAAAGATCCAGCAAACAGAGCTTAGGAAAAAGCTCAAAGTAAAGAAAATCCCGAAGACCTCAGAGGGCATGCAGAAGAGACACCTCAATGAGATGGAAGGTCAGAGCATTATGAGGAAGCAGAGATCCTGGCTATTAATGGAGAGCACCTCCAAAGCAATGATGCCCATGAGAACAGCTCCCAGTGAGCTGCCTCACAGTGAACTGCACAAAGTGCGGGAGCCACGGAAGGTAGAGGGGATCTTCTTGGACAAGGAATTTTCATTCAGCAAGGATGAAATGAGCAGGTCTTTCACCTCTCCTCATTCCAAAGGCCAAGCTAAGGTTGGAAACCCTGGGGAAGATTTGGCCAACACCATTTATGTTTTAGAAGATGCAAATGCAAAAGTTAGAAATATGAAGGCTCCTCAATCAATGGGATATCCCCCCAAAACATACATCTTCCATAAATCTCATTCTCGTCTAATTCGCAGAAGGCTAAAGATGAAACCAAAGCAAAAATTCAGAAAGGCAGATTCCCTCCAGGAGCTGATGATTGGAAACAGAGCTCCTTTCTCTGCAGTGAAGAACCTCATAGATATCGCTCCACGAGAGGATTTTTTGTCTGCAGGAGATCTGAATTCTCCAGAAAATCTTCCTCCTGGGTTATTTGTCAATTCTGAAACTTCTGGAGGAAACAATGTACTATCTGACACTTTTCCTGAAAGCTCTGTCCCCAGGAAGCCTTCCCCTGCTGATTTTGCTCTGATGATAGAAGAGCCACCGGTCACTATTAAACAAATTGATAAAACACGAGGGAAATATCATAACACTAAATTACCCTCCAAACCTGAAAGCTCCACTATCCCAATGCTCTTGTCTGCAAGTGACAGATTTAAAAGTCATCTCAATCAACAGCTACAGCCCCTCATCCCCAACAAAGATGTGAGAATGCTCCTTTCCCATGTTGCCCAAATATTGAAAATGGACTACTCCCAACCCCAAGTACAGTTGGCCTGTGCCAAACTCTTCTCCAGAACAGGCCGCCTGTTGAAGCTTCTCAGCGAGCAGCAAGATCTAAAGGTGGCTAAGGCAGACTGGGACACAGAAGAACGGAAGACAGACTTCATCAGCAAGGTCACAGACATCCCGAATGAGCCAGAAGTGCAGGGACAAGATGAGGTGAGAACAACTCCAGAAAGATGGGTCCCAGACTTTTCCATCAGAGTTTAGGACTTGCCTATAGAGTATGCATGTTCCTGTTCCTAAGCTCCTCTTAGCCAAGTGAGGAGCTAAGACAATCATCTCCCACTTTGCTAATTTAAAGAAGACTACCACTATTCCAAAAGACTTATCACAAAAATGTACAAAAAGAATAATTAATAAGAAAAAGATTGGGTTTGGGTAAGGAATAGTTAGCTTTTTTTCTTTTCCATCTGTTTGTTCTTAATTTCTTTTTCCTTCCTTTATTTCAGCTCACAAAGGGAGTACAAAAGTATGGGATTAATAGGAAACTCATCCTGGCAATATCTGTGACTGTCTTAGTGGTGATTTTGATTATAGTTTTTTGTCTCATTGAGGTAAGGACAACAATAAATTCACATTTTTCTGGATCTAGCTTGTCTTTATAATAGAATCAGAATCCACTTTCTGACCTAATAGCCTGTAATAGTCATGTGGACTGGGTTACACTTAGATTTTTCATTACAAAAGATATTCCAGGACTTTTAAAAGAACTCACTCCCAGGAGATCTTGGTGGCTCTAAAGCAAGATAACAAGCCATTAGAGTCTTTGAGAAGTTTAGCTTACAAGGACAAGTAGATGATAGCAATATTTCTTCAACCCAAAACTATGACAGTTGATTTGACATAGTCACCAGTCATTTTCATTTTACTATTGATTTTATCCTGTCACTAATATCATTGTTAGCTGGCTGAAATGATGGGAGAGAAAAATGACAACTCATAAGACTTACCCATCCAAGAAGGAAATATACAGAAAAATCTAGAAATTATCCTGTAGATTCATTAGATTTTCTTAGTGTTATTCTTTTCTAGTCTGTGAGGCATCATCTAAATAGGTTCAGTTAAAATAACACAGCCAAATTCCTTTACGAGTAGCTTATTATAGTTTTCCTCTATTTACTTTTTGTTCCATTATATAATACGTTATTAATTTCCTGATAAACCTCTGCTAGCATAGTAAACACATGATTTAAGAAGTTGACAATCAGACCTTACTCTAACAATCCCCGCTAATTTACTTAATTACCTTTTCTAGGAATAGGGATTCCCAGAGCAGCTCTCCCTTCAATCCGGAGCAGCCCCCATCCATACCCCATTCTCACCATGTCGGTTCCTACTGTGTCTGTGCCTTTGCTCATCTAAAGTCCCCTTCACTCACACTGCCTATGAGTCTATTAAAAGCCAACTCAGGAGCATCTTTCTTCACAAACCTTTCCTGAAATCTCTAGTCTTCCTGGTCTTGGTCCCTCTTTGAGAAAGTTTATCATTCCTTAAGGGCCAGAGAGTCAATTTCCCTTTCCTAAGAATGTAAAAATGTGGTAACAACTTTTAAAAAGCAGACTACAAAAGACAATTCAAGGTCAATGCATTAAGGAGCAAAACAGATTTTTAAAGACAAAATCACCTGCTGATTTGTCTAAAGAAAGTAATGGCCTGCAAAAGCAGGATGATCCATCCCTTGTAGAGAAGGCAAGAAACAGGTCAACAAGGGCAGTGACTACTTTAGCATTGCCCCCAGTAGAGCCTGTAGCAGTAGATACACACTGTCAGGCCACTAGCACACGGCCTGAGATGGAGAGAGGTGGGCTCTGCTCCTCTAGTTCTTTCCATTTAACATTTGTTTCAGTCTATTCTAAATGTGCTTTTCTTTCTCCTTTTGAGCCCTGTCTCTACAGCCACACAAACAGTCTGGGGAACCGATGCTTTTCTAACTATCCTGTAGAGTCATTCTAGTTCACTAGGGTTAGTAGTGGTCATGGAATACATACAAAAGGATTTGGCTACAATGCCTGAAAGCAGGTGAAAAATGCCAAGAACAGATGGGACTAAAAGCTTCCTGGAGCATGTACCACCATGAAAGGGATCTGGAAGTTCTCTGTTAAACAAAGACTATTTTCTTATATTCTTGATAAGGTTGTTAAGAGTGCAGTAAGGTCTTGTTCATGAGTACAAAGATGTTTTCTTGAGAACTTTTTATGCTTATCTATGCTTTGTTCCATGTTGCCTATGCTTTGTCCCATATGTTTAAACATTTACCCACCCTATCAGATCATGTTTTACTAAAATCTTTGATTTTCTCCTAATAAAAGCAGAGACTTTACAATTTCTCAGTGCAATCAGCCTGAGAGAGCTTTTTGCCCTCTGCAAAATTTACATTTCACTTTGCTAGTGTTCCTTCAGCTCTACTCACAAGAAACAACACTATCTCATATCTCATACATGTTGTTGTTAAGTGCCATCGAGTCGCTGTGACTCATAACAACCCCATGTACAACAGTCCTAAACTTTGCTCTGTCCTGTGCGTCTCAGATACATCCATCCCGATTACCCCTGTCATTGAATCAATCCACCTCATAGAGGGCCTTTCCCTCCTGCACTGTCCCTCCACCCTGCCAAGCATGATGTCCCTCTCCAAAGACCGGTCTCTCCTTACAACATGTCCAAAGTATGTTAGATGAAGTCTCAGAATCTTTGCCTCCAAGGAGCCGCCCGGTTTAACCCTTTCCAGGATGAATCTGTTTGTTTTTCTAGCAGTCCATGGTACCCTCAATACTCTTCTCCAGCACCACAGCTCAAAGGCATCAATTCTCCTTCTATCCTCCTTAGCCATTGTTCAAATCTCTGATGCATAACAAGTGATAGCAAAGACCATGGCCTGTATCAGACGTACCTTAGTCTCCAGAGAGACACCATTGCTCTTCAGTATTTTGGAGAGGTCCCTAACAACAGACTTTCCCATGGCAATACGTCTTTTAATTTCCTGGCTACTAGTGCCAAGAGTGTTGACTGTGGAGCCAAGCAAACTGGAGCTGTGAACAATCTCAATCTCTTCACCATCCATCCTGGTGCTACCAATTGGCCCAGTGGTGAGAATCTTTGTCTTCTTGACATTGAGCCTCAATCCATATTGGAGGCTGCAGTCCTTGACCCTCTGCAGCAAGCACTTCAGGTCCTCCTCAGTTTCAGCAAGCAGGGTTGTGTCATCTGCATAACGCAGATTGTTGATAGATCATCCACCAATCTTGACCCCACATTTCTCTTCATAGAGCCCAGCCTCCCAGATAATCTGTTCTGCATACAGGTTGAAAAGGTATGGAGACAGGACGCATCCGTGGCATACGCCCTTCCCAATTTTGAACTGTGCAGTGTTTCCTTGCTCTGTTCTGATGACATGAGATCAAGTTGGTTTATTGTGTGGTTTAATTCTTCAGCATCTTTGTTGAGTTTCTTTCTGATAGTTCTATCTTTTCTTGAGAGTGATGTATTGAAGTCTCCAACTACTCTAGTAGTGTTGTGTATTTCTGTCCTATTTGCTCAACTCTGTCTGCACTTGGCTATATCTCAAAGTCAAGGATTTTGAAGCTCTGTCTCGCATACTTGGGGCATGAGACCAGGAGTGACCAGTCTTTGGAGAAGGATTTCTTGCTTCGAAGGGCAGAGGGACAAGGACAGCACAGGAGAGGAAGATCCAAGATGAAATGGATTGACACAGTATCTGCGGCAATGGGGGTAGGTGTGTTGGAGTCAGTGATACTAACTCATGACAAGGCAGGCTTCAGAGCTGTTGTACACAGGGTCGCTATTAGTGATAGGCAACATGATGGCACATAACAACAATACACTTGGACCAGGAAGTAGTTGTCAGAATAGAGCAGGGAAGCACTGCATGGTTCAGGATCAGGAAGTGTGTGCATTAGGATGCATCCTATCCCCATACCTTTTCAATATATGTGTCGAACAGATCATTCGTGAGGCTGGACTTTCTGAGAAGGAATGTGGCATCAGCGTTGGAGAAGATTCATCAACAACTTGTGTTATGTGGATGGCACAACTTTGCTTGTTAAAACTGAGGAAGACACGAGACATTTGCTGCAGGAAGTCAAGGACTGTAATCTTCAATATGGATTGAAGCTCAATGGCAAGAAAACAAAGATTTTCACTGCTGGGCCAATTGTCAGCTTCATGACAGACAGATAAGAGATTGATATTAACAGCTTGTTTTTCCTTGGTTCCACAATTAACACTTTTGGTACCAACAGTCAGGAAATCAAAAGACTAACTACATTGAGAAAAATCAGCTGTCAGGGACCTCTCCTGAGTACTGAAGAGCAATGGTGTCATTCTGGAGACTTAAGGTGCACCTGATACAGGCCATGGTCTTCACAATTACTTGCTATGGATCAGAGAGCTAGATAATGACTAAGGATGATTGAAGAAGAATCGATGCCTTTGAGCTGTGGTGCTGAAGAAAAATGTTGAACATACTGTGGACTGCCAAAAGAACAAACAGATCTGTCTTGGAGTGGGTGAAACCAAGAATCTTGCTGGAGACAAGGATTTTGAAGCTCCATCTCACATACTTTGGGCATGTGACCAGTCCTTGGAAATGGATATCATGCTTGGAAAGGTGAGGAACAGTGCAGGAGAGGAAGACCCAGGATAAAATGGATTGACTCAGTGACTGGAGAAATGGGAATAGGTCTCTCAGAGATAGATGATGAGACTGGTTTAAGAGAGCATGGGATTCAGAGTTATTGTACATAGGGTAGCTATGAGTCACAGGCGAACCAATGGCACATAACAAAATAAACCTTCTGTTTTTAATTTTATGTTCTGTTTAGCCTCATATTTCTATATTTATACTTTCCTTATATCCTCTTCCTACTTAGATATTGAACTTTTTGAGGATTATAACCATGCAGTATTTTAATAGTAATGAGCAATAATGGTGCTTGTTATTGTGTGCTGCAGAATCGACCCAAAGCTGACCCCCCCGTGGGTCTTCAGAGGCTGTAAGTTGCAAGGGAGGAGAATGCCTATCCTGCTCCAGGAGAACATGAGGTGGATTTAAACTATGTGCGTTTGGGATTGCAGCACAGCTTCTTGCTTCTGTGTCACCAGAGCTCTGTTATAATGGTGCTTAAGAGAAGAAAAAGACAGTGTCATATTAATTCCACATTCAGTAATAACCATACAACCAAATACTTACTTTGAAGTAACATACAGAGTCCACCAATACACAAATATAGGCATTCTTAACTTTTGAAAGACCAGGTTTTAAAATTCTAGAAAAAGTGAACACAACATAACAGAGCAGTAGCCTGTGGCACAATTACTGAAACACTGACAGATGTGCCCTCCACCAGCAAATATGAGGATGGATGGCCTACTTATCGAGAAGGTTGGCATTTCACACCCACCCGGAGTGTCTAGGAAGTAAGGCCAGGTGTTCTGCTTCTGGAAGGTCACGGCTTAAAAACGATGCACATGTGGGCGACCATGAGTCAAATCTACTGGGGAAAAGTTGGACTGCCTACTCAAAGGGAGGCACGCAGAATCCACCAGCTGCTCCACTTGTGTAATTTACAGCCTCTGAAAATCAGCTGGAGGGGGAGCTTGGAGTCCCTCTGTTATTCAACAGCAGCAGTAAAATGGCTGAGACTATATTTAAAGGACAAACTTTGTGTCTGATTTTATCTTTCCCCCACCCCCACCTGAGCCCTCACCTTTAAAGATATTGTCATTTTTAGAGCTAAAGAAGATCACATTAAGGCCCCTCTGGCAAAACCAAAAGCAGATCCGAGAGTCACCAGACCAGAGTCTGTCTCCTCATTACCACTATTCTGTTTTCCTTAAGACAAAAAGAGGAATATGTGAATACTGAAATGTAGCTGAAGTAACTGAAGGGATTGATATTTAATATAAAAAGAGTTTTCTAAATGATCTTGCAGGAAAGGAGGCAAGTTTCTGAAGAGAAGGAAAGAGGTGTTGGCACTCTTAGAACCACAGCCACCCCTCTCCTCACGGCTTATGGGGTGTGGCTCTTGTTAGGGAGGCCTTTGTCACCTTGTGATATAAAGAGCGTTCCCTATTATTTTCTTCTGTCACGTTCCTCAACTTCTTCTATTGCTATCAAATTGGAATCAACTTAAACCCACCCCTCTAGTAGTTTTTAAGGACTGTAAGTCACAAGAGAGGAGGCTACCACTTTTATCCCCTAGAGATACTGGTGTATTTGAACTGCTTGCCACTGGGTTAGTAGATCAGCTCTTTACCCACTAGGTCACTAGGCACCAACTTTACATTCATAGCATTGAACTATTCCTGTTTTAGGTATTATTCCATGCAGAAAGTGTATTCTGTTTGGTTGGTTTGGGTATAGTTAATTTAAGGCAGAGAATCTAACTTTTCCCTCTATATATGGTGTATCGAGTTGTTTTAAAATCTATTGAATGCTTAATTTGTCAGTCATCTAAAATACTGCCTTATTCTGGCCTCTCCTATCTCACTGATCTATCTGCCTTTTCTCCCTCAGAGCAGTTGCCAGCTTTGGACTTCTGACTTTTCCGTTAGAAGCCAAGCACTTAACCAGCGCACCACCAGGAGCCTTCCAAATTCTCCTATCAGTTCCAGAAATTTTTAGGTGATCTCCCGGTTAGCTCTGGTGCTGCAGTCAATAGGGACTGGTGCTGCTACCAAAAGGCTGTGCCTCTCTGCCAGTTCAAGTCTATCAGCAGCTCCATCAGAGAAAGATGGACAATCTCCTTCTGTGAGATTTATAGCCTCAGTGGTGAAGCCAGATAATGAATTGGAGCCACAAGAAAAATCTTATATTACTTCCAAAAATTTTTAGTTAATCTTAGAGCTTTTAAGTATCCATTATTTCACATACAAATAATGGTACTTTTGTCACTGTCTTTCAAATACTTCCATCTCATTTCCTTTTCTTATTTCACTGATTAGCATTATCTAAGCAAGATTGAAAACTAGCAGTAATAACAGGCATACATATTCTGAATTATAATGTTATGATCTAAGTTTGTATAGATATTTTAATTATGTAAAGGATGTTTCCTCCTTTTCCTACTTCTAAGTTTTTATTAAACATTCTTCTAGGTCATATAGCACGGGTCTGTCCATTTGCTATATGGAGGTAACTCGTGGTTGCTGTCATGCTGAACACTGTGACCCTGATGTGTCAAATGCAATAATGGTCACCTATGCCAGACAGTGTTTGTTGGAGCTCCCTGAGTAAAAAACAAACTTGGAAGCAGGACTGGCATCCACTTCCAAAATAGCTTGCCTCCGGAAACCGTATGAACTTGGAGAAACAATGAAAGTTTAACAAGTGTTCAGGTCTTTCATTCATAGGGTAGCTGTGAGTAGCCTATGACTTGATGGAACTTAACAACAATAAGTTTTCATTAGGAATTCCATGTTTAATGTTATCTAAAACAATTGATAAAAATCTTCTAAAATATATGCAAAAACCCAAGCTAGGTACTAAACGAGTTACTTAGAATAAAAAACTATTAAGTAGGATAGAAACCCAGGACTCTAAAAAGGTATCCTCTAGCAGTGAAAATAAGGCTTAAGTAAAGGAATGAAGAAAGACCTGGAGAGAGTGGCCATTGTGTTCGATAACCAAGATCATGCTTTCTTCCAATACAGATCTGTACTTATAGAAGTTATGCAAAGGAGGATGTAGAAGCAGGATTCTCAAGGTAAATAACAGTCTGGCAATTTAAAACAATGTTTATAGTAGTTCAAATACATACAAAAAGCATTTATAACCTGACAACTTTTGAAAATGGAATTTGAGAGCTAGAGGAGACCTTAGCGTAACTCTCTCCCAGCCCCCTCAAGCTACAGTGAGGGTTCTGCCAAGAGCAGGAAGAGGGCGTCACCTGAACACTTTGTGTGGTTCCAGCAAAATAATCCTCCAGGCCAAGCTGAGTTTGATGGCTAAGGCAGGAGCCCCAGTGGTCCAACAGGCTAAGCATTAGGCTCGTAACCCAAATGTCAGCAGTTGGAGCCCTACAGTAGCTCAGAAAGAAATAGATGAAGCAGGCTGCTCCTGTAGGGATTTCCATTTCAGAAACCTTATGGAACAGTTCTTCCCTGAACCTACAGGATTGCTATGAATGAAATAGACTCAGTGACTGTGGTTGTTTGAAGTATGGTGTCTTTTGACCAGGAGTTGGGAGGGTGGCAGGTATTCCATTCTTTTCCTGCTATAGAGGGCATCAGGCTAGACAGGGGCCTTCTTGAGAGGTTCTGGACGAAAGGCCAAATGGTCTTGGGTAAGAGGATGGCTGTCATTCATAGCTGATGGAGGGTAGAAAACACGAGTTTTTTCACATTGAGAAGCAGGAAAATGTGACTTTTCATTTGTTAAGCCCCTACCTTTTATTCTTATCTCAACCACATAGAACTTTAACCTTCAGGGCCATTAGACTAACTTGTCTCAGAAAGAAAAAGGCCAATTCTCTTCCTCACAATCTTCTTAGTAGTGAGTGTCACAAAAAGGCTACTCTTTCCCATTTGAGGACTTCTCCATTGATGACATTATGACTGGACTGTAATTTACATTTGACTGTGTAGAACATAACAAACTGTGGTTGACTCTGAGAAGAATGGGAATCCCAGAACACTTGATCGTTCTAATGTGAAACTTATACTTGGACCAGGAGGCAGTCGTCAGAACAGAGCAAGGGAACACTGCATCGTTCAAAATTGGGAAGGGCGTACGCCAGGGATGCATCCTATCTCCATACCTTTTCAACCTATATGCAGAACAGATTATCCGGGAGGCTGGGCTTTATGAGGAGAAATGTGGGGTCAAGATTGGTGGACGATTTATCAACAATCTGCGTTATGCGGATAACACAACCCTGCTTGCTGAAACTGAGGAGGACCTGAAGCGCCTGCTGCAGAGTGTCAAGGACTGCAGCCTCCAATATGGATTGAGGCTCAATGTCAAGAAGACAAAGATTCTCACCACTGGACCAATTGGCAGCATCAGGATGGATGGTGTCTTAAGAGATTGAGATTGTACACAGCTTTAATTTGCTTGGCTCCATAGTCAACAGGCTTGGCACCAGCAGCCAGGAAATTAAAAGGCGCATTGCCATGGGAAAGTCTGCTGTTAGGGACCTTTCCAAAGTGCTGAAGAGCAATGGTATCTCTTTGGAGACTAAGGTGCGTCTGATACAGGCCATGGTCTTCGCAATCACCTGTTATGCATCAGAGAGTTGGACAATGACCAGGGAGGATAGAAGGAGAATTGATGCCTTTGAGATGTGGTGCTGGAGAAGAGTATTGAGAATACCATGGACTGATAGGAAAACAAACAGATTTGTCCTGGAAAGGGTTAAACTGGGTGGCTCCTTAGAGGCAAGGATTCTGAGGCTCCGCCTAACATACTTTGGACATGTTGTGAGGAGAGACCAGTCCTTAGAGAGGGACATCATGCTTGGGAGGGTGGAGGGACAGCGCAGGAGAGGAAGGCCCTCTATGAGGTGGATTGATTCAGTGACTGGGATAATTGGGATGGGAGTGTCAGAGACAGTGTGATTGGCACAGGACAGAGCGGAGTTTAGGTCGCTATGAGTCGCAGGCGACTGGACGGCACATAACAACAACAACAACATGAAATAGTATTTGCAAACCTAATATAGGCACACATAGTATCTAAAGCAACCCTGGAGTTCCTGAGGGGTGCAAATAGTAAACATCCTCAATTGCTAACTAAAAGGTTGGAGGTTCTGGTGTACCAAGGTAAAAAAAAAAAACCCCAAACCCAAAAATCTGGTTATCGACATTTTGACAATTCAGCCATGAAAACCCTGTGGAGTTTTTCTCTGACAAATGGTTCATCATGAGTTAGCACTGACCCTACAGCAACTTTCCAAAGCAAGCACACATATTTTACACTATGCGCTCTACAGGTTTCTATTCTGTTCAGATTTTTTCCCATGCTGGTCGTGACCTTTAAACTGATTTCACAATCCATTAACTAATTAGTGACCACTAGTGTCTTCTTTGGACGTGTTGCTAGGAGGGGCTAATTTTTGGAAAGGACATCATGCTTAGAAGGTTCAGCAAAAGTGAAGCAGACCCTCAACCAGACAAATTGACACAATGACTGTAGCTATGGTTTCAAGTGTCTCGGAGATGATGAGAATAGCACAGGATAGAACAGGGTTCAGAACTGTTGCTCATAGGGTTGCTATTCATACTGAATTCAACAGCACCCAAGAATAAACAACAATTCTTTTTGGTTCAACAACTTAGTATCTTCTATCATCATTTGATGTTTCCTGATTATTCAAGATTTTGCTCAAAGTCCTTTAGTATTTACATCTGGAGACTTGAATATGTGTTCTTCAGCCCTTTCAGCCTGAGAAATGCTCAGTGTGTTCTTCCCTTTTCAAACACCAGCCTTTTGCACATTTTCTTCTCAAGCTGCCCTTTGAACTCTATTCCGCTGTCCTAATTCAGCATTTCCACCCCCACCTTTCCTTTGTTCAGGCTTCTTTATGTTTCTGGGCAAGTTTCAGTGTCTATTCTAACATCAATTTTGGCCTTTTCTTTCTTTCTTTCCTGTCTTTGTAATGACCTTTTGCTTTCTTCGTAGGCTATATATCCTTGTAGCTCATCACTGGTCTTTGGTCATTAGTGTTCAATGAGTGCAGACAATCCCTGCAACCTAAAATGTACAAGGGGATGTTCTGTGCAAAGCATTCACTGTATCATATGTGCTCGTAGAGTGTGTATGGCAATGGTGCCCCATGAGAGGGAAAAGGCCCCAGTCAGAGGTGGTACTCCCACTAATCCAGGGGCTGACTGCAGGCCAGGTGAGGCTCAGTCGACAGGCTCCCATACGTGTGCAGATGTACTTAAACACCAAGTCTCTAGTGATTTTGCTAGTTCTGACTGGAAGAGAAGATAAACTTCTATTACTGCTATGACTATAGATATACATTGTGAGGGACATGGAAACTGACAATGAATCACTAATTGTTTTGCATGTGTGTTTCTCTTCAAGCAGCATTACCAAAAGTTCATTTCATATGAGAACATCAGAAAGTGATAGTCAGGTAAGTTTGGGAGGATGCTGTGTTATGGTGAGAGACACCAGGAGAGGTGCAGACTAATGAGTTCTCTTTCACTTTTCTAGAGAGGAGGATGTTGCTGGAGGGAGGCGCTTTGGCTAAAAGATATGTATAGACCTCTCAATGCCACTTGCATGACAAATATGACACAGGATTTATATTACAAGAATTCTTCTGATGAGGAAGAAATTTTCAACAAAAGTCCAAGGTAAATGATCAACAACTTGAACTTCTTGTCTAAAATGAACATATATCAAAAGAGAGAAAATCCAGAACTAAATTTCAATGTGGACTCCATACTTTATAGTGCCATGGAGGCTGGATGAATTCAAAACTATCACCCTGACATAATCTTGAAATCTTAAATTAACTATGTCCCCTAAGGTCTTCTTAAAACCAAACAACAGTTTCGTTTAACTGGTAAAGAATATCTGTCTTGAGCACTGTGTTTTTTTAAAAGTTCACTTTTATAAAAGCTACCTATATATGATCAAGAGCTTAGTGCCATGATGCTTTTCATGTTGTGCTGCCAACTGTAAAGTCAGCGGTTCTAGCCCACCAGCTACTCTGAGTAAGGAGGACAGACAATCTCCTTCTGTAAAGACTTAGAGCCTCAGAAACCAGGCAGAGGTGAAGTTGACTTATCATTGTAGGTTTGGTTTATTGGTTTTATATGGGATCAATCTAAAAACAGCAACGTGAAAGACTAGACAGGAGCCTCTGGGGAATGTTAATGGAGTTTATGTTAAGGGAGGGAAATCAACTCAGAAAAGGAGAGTGGAAACGGTTATATAACTCAAAGAATGTAACCATTGTCACTGATTTGAACGTGTAGAAAATGCTCTACTATATGTTTTGGTGTGTATACTCTCAATACCAAAATAAATACTTTTTTAAAAAGAAAGAAATGGGGGGTATGGAATCATTTGCTTTTTTCAAGAAAAAGAGCTTTTAATGTTGTTCTTATTCTAGGGAGATCCGATCTGCTCCTGACGTAGAGAAGGGCGAGACGGCAGAGAGAACACAGGAAAGTAAGGAGAGTGACGTCGAGGAGACGGAAGGGTGAAACTCAGCCAGCCTCAGCTGCCTCCAGAATTTTTCTTGTATTGTTAATGGCAGAAAATTTGAGATTTAAACATTCGACAAATACTGGAGATTAACAGACCTTTTATTATGCACCGACTGACGATGTCACCTGTTGCCAAAACATTCCAACCTTGAGGGGAAGAAAAGATTGGGTTTATGTGCAGAGATTGGCCATGGGGGTTACACAAAGTTCCCTGTAGTTGCCAGTTGAGATTTCTTCCCATTCGGGAGTCGCTATTGTTTCTGACTTCTTGTGGTGTTCAGGCTCCAGGCTAGGGACTGTATATAGGCAGGGAGTGGTGACCAAGCTGGGTCAGCATGTACTAGGGAATATAAACTTTCTTGTTATTGTTGTTATGTGCCATCAAGTCAAGTCACCTGTGACTCAAAGCAACCCTATGTACAATAGCCCTAAACCCTGCTCTATCTTGTGCCAATCTTACTGTCTCTGACACACCCACCCCCTTTACTCCAGTCACTGAATCAGTCCATCTCATTGAAGGTTTTCCTCTCTTATGCTGTCCCTCCACTTTCCCAAGCATGATATCCCACGAAAGGACTGGTTCCTCCTTGCAACATGTCCAAAATATGTTAGACAAAGCTTCAGAATCCTTGCCTCCAAGGAATAGCCTGATTTAACCCTTTCCAGGACAAGCTGTTCATTCTCTTAGCAGTCCATGGTATATTTAATACTCTTCTCCAACACCACAGCTCAAACACATCAATTCTCCTTCTATTATCCCTAGTAATTGTTCAGCTCTCTGATGCATAGCAAGTGATTACAAAGACCATGGCCTGTATCAGGTGCACCTTAGTCTCAAGACTGACATCATTGCTCTTCAGTACTATGGAGAGGTCTCTGACAGCAGACTTTCCCCAACCCATTACTTCTTTTCATTTCCTGGCTGCTGGTGCCAAGAGTACTGATTGTGGAGCCAAGCAAACCAAAGCTGTTTATAATCTCAGTCTCTTCACCATACATCATGATGCTGCCAATCAGCCCAGTGGTGAGAATCTTTGTCTTCCTGAAGTTGAACTTCAATCTTTATTTAGGCTGCAGTCCTTGACCTTCTACAGCAAACACTTCAGGTCTTCCTCAATTTCTGCAAACAGTGTTGTGTCGTCTGCATAATGCAGACTGTTGATGAGTCTTCCTCCAATCCTGATGCCACATTTCTCCTCATAGAGAGCAACACATATTGCCAAAATTATTGAAGCACACATTTCTTAAAATGGCTATCAGAACAAATTGGCTTCTCTGATGCTAACATATAAAATGGCTTCAATTATTCTTAGCTTGGAAGCAGAAGTGACATCCACTTCTTAGACAACACGCCTCTGGAAACTCTATGAACCTTGATAAATGATGATAATTATAGAAAGGCCTTTTGTTCATAGGGTCACTATGAGTCGTACTCGACTCGATGGCAATCAACAACAACAATAACGTTTTCCCATTTAAGCTGCTACTACAGTATTAGCTTTCAAGCATTGGAATAAAATACCTATGTATCTCATATTAAAACATCAACATGCTATAGCCAATTGTAACCACATCTTAAGGAATTGAAATATAAATACAGGGAAGTGTTCTCTGAAATAGGATGTTATGGGACTCAGATGCTGTGAGCTCATGTGGACCTTGTGGCTCCACTCATTGCTGCTGCTGCTGTTGCTGAAACTACAGCATTGAGTTACCAGAAGCATAAACACATCCATCGTCCAACCTATGGACAGACTGCTCCTTGGAAACCAAGATGGTGAGACATTGACCATGCTCCTTAAGACTTGAACCATGCCTTAAGGAGCACTCTCTTATATTCTCTCCAAGATGAAATTTTAAGATCTCTTGACAATTCATAGGAAATTCAATACTCTTCTTCAACACCACAATTCAAAGCCATCAATTCTTCAGTCTTCCTTACTCACTGTCCACCTCCCAAATGAATAGAATGCAACTGAAAATTACCATGGCTTGCACATGTGCATGTTATTCTTTAAACTGACATTTGCTTGTAGCCCACCCAGCAGACAAGACAGTTTGTAAATAGTGTAAATGCTGTTTTTCTGTCCAGTTCTCTAGGGTCACCATGACTCCAGATCCATGGCAGTGTAGAGCATGTGGTTTAGCTACATGCTGTAGAAACACAGTCATGGTTTTAGAATGGAGTTGATCCTGAGGATGCTTCCACCACGACTGGCCTTGTGTTTAATCAGGCTTCTGAAATCGGCAAAGCTCTGAGGGCAGCAGGGAGGGTAGGGCCCTGACCTTGACTTGGGGTGGGAGGAGGCATGAAGTCCTGGCCTGTCACGGGAATGGACACCCTGTCACGCTGGTCATGGTGAGTTCAGGAGCAGACCAGAACCAACCCACAGACATTATGGAAATTCCCACTCAAAGAGAAATAAAGGTATTGCCTGAAAAATAAGCATCCTAAATAAAAGGAGGGTCTGTGCAGTGAGCACAGAGTTGCCAAGATGTCGGCCCCAGGCCGCAGGGGTACCATAGTGGTTCAGCATCAGCTTGGGAAGCTGTGCCGCCGCCTGTTCATCTTCACTCATTGTACCTCCCTTCCCCTTCCGTTAGGGTGCCCCTGCTGCCCCTTTGAGTTCTCCTGCTCCTTACTGCAGCCTTTCTTGCTACTCATAGTCAGAACCCCCTCGAGATTCGGCGCTGGTTCTGGACCACATGACCCCTTTTGCTTCAGAACTGAATACACCCTCATAGTCAAAAACCACTGATCAAGCTCCTGACCCTGATCAGTCTACTGATCATCATAAAGAGGCTGTCTCTGTCCAATTTCCAATGGCTGATCAACCATCAAAACCGCCTCAAAGGGTAACGCCTCTGCCCCAGAAAGGAAATTATGGAGACAAGGAGTTCCTGGTACAATTCCAGATGATGGCCGGCTCTCAGGAACTTGCTAAGACTTTGGCATGCATTGAAGGCCTTACCGTTTTGGCCACCAGTACCTTCCTTCACCTTTTTCTGAAGTAACTATTCCACGTGCAGAGCAGTAGCTAGCTCAACAATGAAACTAGAATGACATTAATCTAAGTCTTTAGAACATTAACTTTCCATAAGTCCTAAACATACTATAGAACTTGAATAGTCTACAATCTCACAGAAGACTACAGGGCCTTCTTCAGATTTTTCTGAGATGACCATTACATACAGAGACCAGGTTCAAGATAAACAATCAAATTTGGACAGTGTTACAGGTAATCTTTTGAACCTGGATCTTACAACAACAGTAGAACCTGGTACACTTATTGAACATTCTACAGCCCAGCAGAAAGTCACACATCCTTCAGAGTATCATGAGGGGACCGCTCTAGGTCCAGACCAGGCCCAGGGTCAGCAGCCAAATCTTAGTAAGCTTAAGCCAGTGGATGTGGAAATTACTGTAACTCCAAAACCCAATAGGGAGATAGAACCATATCCAACAAAACATGGGATCCCAACTCAATCTCTAGGGTCTTTTTAAAAAGTTGGGGTTAATCCTCAAGTTAATTATGACAACTCCACCATGAGATTAGCATTCAAACTTGCCTGAAGTCACAAACCTAAAAATTTAGAGCTTACCATAACTCCAGACGCCACAACCGAGGTTGTACCTTCAACAACCCTGCAGAAAAGCAAAGTTCTTCCTACAAATCAAGTTGCATTTCACCCTTCAGACTTAGAGTACCATCTCTACAGAAACAAATACAGAGTCTGGATAAATTTCAATAAACCAGGAGACTCCAGCTCAGACTGCAGAGCCTCTGAAGGGCGGTGTAGCTCAAGTTCCAACACGTCCTCAGGAGCCTTCCAACGTGGTGGGATCTTTGACAACACTACAGCCAGCTTCAGTTCCACCTCCAAGTCAAGATAAATTTCAGCATTCAAACGTGCCCGATGTCACCATTCAGCCTTGGAACTTGGAGTTTACTCTGTCTCCAGAACCCAAAACAGAGGTTGTTGAGTCTTCTCCAACCCAGCAAGAGCCACCAACTCCATCTCCAGAATGAACTGAGGAGGTTGTAACTCAACCACCAGTATATAATGAGGTGACAGTTCATTCTACAGGTCAGGACCAAGCTCAGAATTCAAACATACCTAATGTCATAAGTTAGACCTACAGACCGGGCACTTACCACAACTCCTCAATTCACCTCAATTCTGCCCTGCAGAAAACCACACCTCCTACAAAGCACAATACAGTTCAGTCTTTGATCTAGAGCTTACCATAGCTCCAGAACCCTTTATGGAGACTAAGCCTTCTACAATCCTGTAGAGAACTGTATCTCTTCCACAGCAAGTTACACTGCAACTTGTGAATCCAGAGCTAACCGTGACTCAGCATCCATCATCAACTGAGGCATTCCTTTCTTCCCCAGTGACTTAGCTTTTTTATTTTTAATTACAGATCACATAGGGGACACATGATTCTTACTGTGCCACCAACACAGAGTGCCACCAACAGAACTGATATTCACATATGTGAGCTCTGCTCCACAGAGTGCCTGTGCCAGAGACCTTCACTGCCTTATAAGATTGCCTTTCTTCATTTAGTCTCCACACTCTTTTGAAATGATAGCCCTTTTCTTCAAAGTCTTCCTGGCTTCCTCATTTTTCCAAATAATAGTGAACAACTTCCTTTTTTACCTTATCGTTTTCAACATTTCTTTATCATCAGTCTTCTCTTTACCATGGTGACCATTTCTCCAGTCTATTATTTGATTGTCCTTGTTATTTCCCTATAGTTTCAATTAAATTTTAATGAGAAAAAATAATTAATTCAATAATTCATCTTCATTCCCTCATGTGCCAAAATTAGCTCCAGTCCTCTCCAGATAGCAACACTCCTCCCACTTCCTCTTCACATAACAACACTCCTCCTACTTCCTCTCTGGGCTCCTCCCTCCCATTTCCCCAGCTTTCCTGCCTTCTGAATTTTACTTGAGCGTAAATACTGCCTTTTAGGTCTTGCAGTTAATTGTGCTGAGCAGCACAATCCTATGGGGGTTTCTGTTCCCTTTTAGGCCTGTATGCTGTTTCAACCTCAGGTCTGAAGGGTGTCCAAGGACCATAGTTTTGAAAATAACATCAATTTCTATCAGACCAACAAAGCTGGTCTTTTAAAGTAATAACTTTAAATTTTGTTCTACGTTTTCCTCCCACTTTGTCCCTGAGCCTCTATAGTGATCCTCATTGGAGCAGTAAGAAGTGGTAGCGGGGCACCATCCAGTTCTTCTGGATCCAGGCGGGTGGAGGCTGTGGTTCATGCCCTTTCCCCTTTAGCCTCATCATTTCAAGCTTTAACTTCTGCTCCATTCCCAGCTTTAGTTAATCTTCTTACTAGACCATGTTCCTTTTTCATTTCACTGGAAACAACACAACAAAGTGGGTAAGAGGACAGATTCTGGAGTCAAACTACGTAGATTTGAACTCAGCTCTGTAATTCAGATTCCTCGTCTATAAAATTACTGTATCATAGTCTTCTACAGAGTTAGTTGTTGGCACCGAACCTCAAGAGTTTAACATTTTATAGGAAACATAGCATCTGGGGATCCATTTCAGTGATATAGCACTTGTTGCAGATCAAGGAATGCAGCCATTAGTATGGATAGCTTTTCCATGTCAGGAACACAAAGATTCTTACCACAGGACCGATAGGCAACATCATGATGGAGGGAGAGAAGAATGAAACTATCAAAGGCTTCAACTTGCTTGGATACACAATTACAAGCAGTCAAGAAATAAGGAAATACATTGTACTGGGAACATCTGCAGGTTAGGGCCCTCTCCAAATTACTGACAAGTAATGATGCCAGTTTGAGGACTAAGGTACATCTGATTCAGGCCATAGTCTTTCTTTTGATCACTTACTATGCACCTGAGATCTGGACAATGAATAAGAACGACAGAAAAATTGATGCTTTTGAGCTGTGATGTTGGAGAAGAGCACTGAACATCCCATGGACGACCAAAAAGAACAGCTATGTCTTGGAGAAAAGAACATCTATATCTTTGAGAGTGTGCTCTTTGGAGGCAAGAATGATGAGGCTAAACCTCACATGTCATTTAGAGAGTGACATGATTCTGGGAAGAGTGGAGGGTGGCAAAGCAGAGGAAGCCCTTCAACCAGGTATATTGACATGACAACAGCCGCAATTGGCTCTAATGTATCAGGAAGTGTGAGGATGACACAGGACAGAACAGGGTTCAGATCTTTTGTTCATGGGGTCTCTATGAGTTGCACTCAACTCAATGGTACCTGACAACAAGTACTTTTTAAAATGTATCATAGAAGTATTTAAGATCAAATATGAAGTTCTCCCCTTTTGCTTTTCACCCTTCTCTCTCTCACTGGTAAGGTAAGTCCTGTCATCAGTTTAGTCTATATCCTTCCTTCCAATCTCTTTCCTTGCATTTACATACATATATGAGTGTGTGTGTGTGTGTGTGTGTGTGTGTGTGTGTTTACATAAGCACATTTGATTGTACTTATGCAAAACCTATACTTGGACCAGGAAGTAGTCCTCACAATAACCAGGGAAGCACTGCATGGTTCAAAATCAGGGGAAAAGTGTGTCAGGGATGCATCCTGTCTCCATATCTTTTCAATCTATATGCAGAATAGATCATTCAGGAAGCAAGGCTTTATGATAAAGAGTGTAGCATCAGGATTGGATGAAGACTCATCAACAACTTATGTTATGCAGATGACACAAAGTTGCTTGCTGAATTTGAAGAAGACCTGAAACGTTTGCTGCAGAAGGTCAAAGACTGTTGTAGTCTTCAATATGGATTGAAGCTCAGCGTCAAGAAGGCAATTGGACATTGGGCCAATTGGCAGCATCATGATGGATGGAAAAGAGAATGAGGTTGTTAACAATCACAGTTTGCTCAGCTCTACAATCAACTCTTGGCACCAGCAGTCAGGAAATCAAAAGACTAATTGCATCGAAAAATCTGCTGTCTGGGACCTCTCCAGAGTGCTGAAAAACAAAGATGTCAGTCTAGAGACCAAGGTGCACCTAATCTAGGCCATGGTCTTCACAATTACTTGCTATGCATCAGAGAGCTGGAAAATGACTAAGGATGACAGAAGAATGATGTGCTGGAGAAGAGTCTTGAATATACCACAGACTGCCAAGAAAACAAATAGGTCTGTCTTGGAGAGGGGGAAACCAAGTTTCTCCTTAGAGGCTAGGAGTTTGAAACTCTGTCTCACATACTTAGGGCATGTGGCCAGGAGAGACTGGTCCTTGCATAAGGACATCATGCTTAGAAGGGTGGAGGGACAGCACAGGAGAGGAAGACCCCAGATGAGATGGAGTGATACAGTGACTGAGGCAATAGTGTGTTGGAATTAATGAGACTGGTCCAGGACAAGACAGGGTTCAAAGGTGCTGTATAAAGGGTCTCTATGGGTCACAAGTAACTCAACAGCACATAATAACAACCATACGTGTTCTTCTGTATTTTTACATAATGATGCAAACTTTTTCTTCTTCCTCAGTAATTTGATTTTTTTTTTATGAAAGCAATGTTCCTGTGAAATCTTTCCACATCAGCTCATTAGTGCCTTGAACTTTGAATTATCCTTCCAAATCTGAAAAGATAACAAAGAAGGTCTTTCTTCACAACTATGGTGTGCCTGGCATTTGTTTGTTTGTTTGTTTCTGTTTGCTGATAGTGATGAGAAGTCCTGAGTAGATGATCTCTTTTTTGCCACTGTCTCTCACAGACAGTCTTCATTAACTGAGCCAATTTGGAAGCTCACAGATGTGGAAATTAGAAAGTTAATACTTTTTGCATTTGAATAGTCCCCATATTGTTCTCATTATTATTTACATTTATTTGAATCATTCTTAATCCTGTTGTTGTTGTGGATTGCCATTCTTTGGAGCATGACTCATAGCGGCCCTATAAATAAAAACAAAAGGCCTGAAGCCCCTCTACAGCTATAGACATTTATCAAAGTTCATAGAGTTTCCAGAGGCATGTTATTTAGGAAGTGGATGCCACTTATTAAAAAGCATAAACCAAGTTTCTTCATAGAAATTTCCAAGGAAACACTATTCCTTCTATCACTGAAAATGTGTGGAAGGCCTACTGTTGTACAGAGAAACTGTGACTACAACCTCTCCTAATATGAACACAGAAAACTAAGAATATTTAAGATCCTTTTCGGATTAGAATTTCTGGCCAATACTTGTGAGGAAAGATATTTTCCATTCTTCATAGCCCAAGTCAAACTCCATTGTTTGCAGTTTTACTGTAATTTGAAAAATTTAATTTTGTGAGTTCTCTTTTAAATACTTGAGTAGCAATTTAAATATTTCTTTCATTTTAAAGTAATACAAGTGTAATTAGTGTTTAAACTAAAGAACAGGGAAACAATGAAAACCTTTCTTGTTCCCTAATCCCTGACCCCTGAGGTAACCCCTTGCACAAGTTTGCTGTATAGCCTTCTCTGCTAGTCTGTGCACTTATCTATATCCATGTTTACATGTGGATTTTTTGTGTCTTTTTTTTGAAGTCAAGGATGTTTACTGCGGCTTGGATTACTTGAGGGACCTCTAGCGGCCTAGTGCATAGTAGTACATTTGCTGCTAACCCCCAGGCACAACCTCTGGTGGGTAGAATCCACAAGAAACACTGCAGAAGACACAGATGGGTGATGTCCTCCTGTGTGATTCACGGCCTTGGAAAACCCATGATGAAATCGTTGACAAATCATTCTTTTCAGCATCTATCATGATGTCACCTATTGATACAGTTGTGTGGATTTTTGTTTTCTTAGAGTTGAGAAGGAATCCACTTGGAAGGCTGTGGTCTTTAGTCCTCTGCAATAAGTGTTTCATGTCCTCTTATCTTGCTGCA